CTGCTTCAGTAGAGGCCATTGTGGCGCGTGATATCCATGGTTTGTGCGCTGACCTCCGCGCGCGCGCGAGGACAGTTGACGCTACGAGCATCGCCTCATTCACCTTGGAAGCGTGCTCGTTGATCGCGGCTGCCCTCCCAGTGGTCGTTTCGTTGGCTTCGCGGAAGAACCGGCAGAACTGCATCTTGATCGCACTGTCCGTCATAAGCTCCCGGAGGTCGAAATTTTGCTTCGCCGTATGTTTGTCCATTGCGTGTAAGTCGATGCCTAAGTGTACTACTAAAAGGAAATGTCTGCTCGCCAGCGGCACGGTGCGATCCGAATGCACATCGCGTATTTTCCCCAAAAGTGGCCCATCAATTAGGCAATGGTCGATTTGAGCAAAGTCTTCTCCTTCCACAGCCTGCCCCGTCTTGGAAGCGTGCGTGCCGTAGTATGTGATGAGCTTGCCGGCCTCGTGCGGGAAAAACGCGCTAGCAATCTTGATGTCAGATGCCCGGCAAGATTCGAGCAGCAATTCTCTATTGAGTCGGTCCCGACGTTTTGGCCAAGCGTTGCGGTAGAAATATCCCCATGATATGATCGTCACCCGGTTCTTGTTCATATAGCCGGGTATTGAAATCCCCCATCGCGAGCGTACCGTTATGAGCTCCATGCCGCGGCCACGCCGCTGTGAAATCGTCGAACCATGTCCGCCTTTGTTCATGCTCGTATCCAGCGTGTGGCGCGTAACACGTGAATAAAGTTAGGGTCCCACCAGAGACTTTGATCTTCAAACTTGCCAGCCTATCGGAAATCAGCCTGAAACTGACGACCGCTTTGATCGCCCATGGGGCAATTAAGAATCCAACTCCAGAGTAAAAACGCCCAGTAGTCTCCACTGACGTGCCAGCTAAGATGACCAAGAAACCAGAGTCGACGAAGTCCGTGGATTCCGTAATGCCTGCCTCCTGGATGCAAAGTATAGATATGTTATGTTGTTTCACGTGGTATTGCAATTCTGTTAGCTTCGCCATGTCGTAGCCTAAGCCTTCCACGTTCCAAGATGCCAGTTTGGGTCCATTCAGCGGGTAGCACAGCTTCTTGGGGCAACCCCAGTGCATGCCCTCGCGCGGTTTCCAACGACTGTCGCCAAGAGGATTGCCACCTAATGGGGAAGGTGCCGAAGGAGGAGAAGTAAAAGTATGAGTACCCGTATTTGGTGATATCTTCGTCGTTGTATGTACGCCCATGCCGCAAGGAGTTCTGGTACAGTCGCCAGGATGACCATCCAAATCAAAATCTTCATAATGTGATGGAGGAGCACTGTCGGCGGTGGTATCTGTGCCGCAAGGGCCTCTCCAGCCGAGCAGCCGAGCAGTAGGCCTCTCCTCAGCCTTGAGCGCCTCGCTCGGGACATCCTCAGAATCTGCTCTGAGCGCAGACGAGCCTGGCCCCCAAATCAAGCAAACCGCTCGAGACATCCTCGCCCTCTCTCGAGACATCCCCCAAATCTGCTCCGAAAGCGGAGGATGTTGAGCTGGCAAACAGGCAAACCGCTCGAGACATCCCCGCAATCTGGGCGCGAACGGAGGCCGTGCAATACGCATGGCGGCCCCCCCTTTAGGAGTGCTGGAACCAGTAAACTGCTCGAGACATCCTCGAAAGCTGCTCTGAGCGCAGACGAGTCTGGCCACCAACACTGGCCCCCTCTGGCCATCATCACCATCATCACCATCACCATCACCATCACCATCACCATCATCATCATCATCATCATCATCATCACCATCACCATCATCATCATCATCATCATCATCATCATCATCATCATCATCATCATCGTCATCATCATCATCATCATCATCATCATCATCATCAGTATCATCATCATCACCAGCATCATCAGCATCAGCATCACCAGCATCATAACAACCATGATCACCATCAGCAGCATCATCATCAGCAGCATCATCATCACCCTCATCGTGCTCATCACCATTTTTCTTAATCATCATCATCACTCACCATTTTCACCGTCATGTCATCTGCATTATTCATTTTGTGCATCCTAATCGTCGTCATAATACTCTTTTCCTCATCAGGGGAGGAGGAGAAAGGAGGAGGGTGTGTGAGGAAGGTCCGCGCGGTGGCAGTAATCACAATAACCCCATCCTGTGGAAATGGGGAACAAGAGCCCCATCTTTTCGATATGGGGAACAAGAAGCCCATCTTAGGATATGTATATTAAGCAATACCATAAAGTAGCATGTCATGCCATAACATAACGTAACATGATGAAGAGGCGGGAGGAAGTGGAGGTGAGAAGTCGGTGCAGCTGGTAATGATTCACTGCGTGGAGCTCCCCACATGCGCATCGATTAGAATGGGCCTGTCCGCCGTGAGTGCCTAGGCGCAAGAGTTTTCGAATATGAACGGGCTTGAGCAGTGACGGTCTGGGAGTGAATCTAACTGTGGATGTGTTGGAGCGTGAATGAGTCTCAGTAGTACGAGCGCGTCTCTGCGCATGAGCCTGGGGCCTCCTGGGGCCTCCCGGGGCCTCCTGGGGTTTCCAGGGGACCCCTGGAGCCCCTGAGGGCCTCCCGGTGCCTCTTGGGGTTTCCTGTGGGCTCCTGAAGCCTCGTGGGGCATCGTCTGGCCTCCTGGGGCCTCCTGGAGCTTCCTGGGGAGGATTCGTGCCCCAGGAGAGGCCCAATCTATAGGAACACGCGTACATAAAACACTGCGGAGTGTAGCTGCAAGAGAAGGGCAATAGATAGGAGCACACGTAAAACACCAAGGACTCGTGCTCATATGGGAGACCCAATATCCGCCGATCCGGCGTGTGAGTTACAAGGAGTCTCAGCTACAGCCTCGAGGCTGAGCCTCAGCCTCCGGGGGGGTTGCCGGGGTGGCTCTGCCGGGGAAGGGGGGGTGGGGGGGGGCGGGGGGTGCGAGTTTCCGGCGGATGCGTTTTTTGACACCCCTCACAAGGATCGTGGCCTCCGAGGGGGTTCCGAACTCGAGTGCCACCCCTCCCGCACCAAGAGGCTCCGAAGAAGCCTCCAAGAGGCCCCAAGGGGCCCAGAAGAGGCCCCCAAGAAGCCCCAAGAGACTCCCAAGAGACCCCAAAGAGGCCCCCAAGTGGCCCCAAGAGGCCCAAGAGGCCCCCAAGAAGCCCCAAGAGGCCTCCAAGAGGCCCCCGGAGGTCCCGGCCAACCACGATATCCCAACCAGCGTCCATGAGGCCTCTGACCCACCACCCACGCACGGTGGTGGGATAGGCCGAAGGCCACTGGATAAATGCGGAATGAAAGGGGGAAGGAAGGGAAAAGAGAGGAGGGACGAGGGCGAAGGAGGATCACATCAGTCGGAGCGCCCCGGATCGGCCGCACTGGCCGAAGGCCACTACAATATAGGGACATACGTAAACACTGATGATTGGGTACACAGGAGAAGGACAGCCCATAGGAACATACGTCACACACCAAGGATTCGTGCTCCAGGTGAGGCCAAAAATATAGGAGCAGGCATAAACACCTGGGATTGGAGCCACTCCTGTGGCCTTCTGATGTCTCCTGCTCCTGGGGCCTCTTGGGGCCTCCTGGCTCCTCATGGCGCCCCCTGGGGCCTCCTGTGGCCTCCTGACAGCTCCCGGTGCCGCCTGTGGCCTCCTGGATCACCCCGCTCAAGGCATCCCCGCCATTTTGGCGCGAACGGAGGAGTGCAATACCCCCTGGCGGCTCCCCCTTGGAGGCGAACATGAGCGCCTTGCTCGAGACGTCCTCCCATGTGTTCCGAAAGCTCGAGACATATCCGCCATGTTGGCGCGAACGGAGGGGTGCAATACACCCATGGCGGCTCCCCCTTAGGGGTGCTGAAACCAGCGCCTTCCTCGAGACAACATCCTCCTCCGCCCTCCTCCTCCGCCTCCTCCTCCTCCCCCTCCTCATCCTCCTCCTCCTCCTCCTCCTCCTCCTCCTCCTCCTCCTCCTCCTCCTCCCCTTCATCAGCATCATCATAATCATCATCAGCAGCATCATCATCAACATCATCGTCATCATCGTCAGCAACATCATCATCAATAACAGCATCAGCATATGCATCATCAGCGTCATCATCAGCATCAGCGGCAGCATAATTATCGTCATCATCAGCAGCATAATAACAAATACCTTTATCATACCATAACATGGCATAACATAACGTAACAACGCATGGCATGTAATACAATGACATCGCATACAATACCATAGCATAACATATACCATCAAGACATTGTATACAATGCCATACTAACCATACAATGGTATGCAATACCATGTCACACCATACCATAAACAATAACACACTATGACCTAACATACCATGTCCTGACATAACATACCAGAATATACCATGAGAAGGAAGAGGAGGAAGCAGGAGTGAGTGAAGAAGTTGGCGCGGTCGGAATGATAACACGACCCCCATCCTTTGGATATGGGGGGAAACAAGAACCCCATCCTTTGGATATGGAGAACAAGACCCCATCCTTTGGATATGGGAACATATCCTCACATGCCTTAACAGCATGCCAGAACCTTGCATATAATTACGTAGCATAACCTAACATACCATCACATCACATGCCATATCATACCATGACACAATCCATCAAACCTGCCATACAACAACAACAACAACAACAACAACAACAACAACAACAACAACAACAACAACAACAACAACAACAACAACATCAACAACAACAACTACAACAACAACAACAACAACAACAGCAGCAGCAGCAGCAGCAACAGCAACAACAACAACAACACATAACAACATAACATACCACATCATACCATATCATATCATAACGTAACATGCCATACCATTCCATTCCATACCATACCATGATAAGGAAAAGGACGGAGGTGTGAGGAGTCGGCGAGGTCGGAGTAATAACAAAACATGAAACCCATCCTTTGGATATGGGGAATAACATCGTACACAATATCGTGGAGAAATGATACGATTGCCTGTAGGTCCCGCTGATGGCGATCTCACTCCGGACCTGGCTCATGCGGAAGTCGAACATGGCAGGGGTCCATTCCTCCTCCTTGGCGAGCACCGAGAAAAACTCCTCCGCTTCCGCGTAGAGGCGTTTCCCGACGGCCATCCGCACGGAGACGACCGTGGCGCAGTAAGTGAACAAGAACGCCCACATGTCCAGGACGCCCTTGCTCATCTCGAACCTGTCGCTCAGGGTCTCCAGCAGAACCCCCCCGACCTTGGGGAAGGTCTCGGACGGGATCATGGCCTCTTGGAGCGCATGCGCGAGCTTCGAGAAGGCGTCGGACATCATGGACTCGCGCACGCCAGCGCCAAATGACTCTGCTTTGCCGATGACCTGTAGCGTCCGCTGCAGGTGCAGAGTCAACTGGTCCATGTCGGCGTGTGGGAAGTCGTCGCCCAGCTCTGGGTACTTGGTCAGCAGCCTCCGGTAGAAGTCATCGCCAAAGCCTCGCATGGACTGGAGCGCCGCGGCCTGGCGCTGCACCACCACGGCGTCGGGGGACTGCAGCGTGTCGACGAACTTCTGGAAGACGTCATGGGCCTTCTGCATGACGTGGATGTGGAAGAAGCGGCTGATGGCGCCGTCCTCGCCCATCTCCAAATCCACCCCGTCATGGTCCTTGTAGAGGTATGGGTTGTGGGTCCTAATGGCGAACATGAAAGCCTCCTTCAACAAGGCCCAGTGCTTCGGCCGGATGCCCATCAGCGTGTAGTGGGACATGATGCCGGAGGGGTCGTCGCCGAAGTCCCGCGTCACGCACGCCGGGAAGCCGGCTGTGTAGCTCTCCCTGCCGTGGACCTCCGTCCTCCGGTCCAGCGCGCGGGCACACTTGTCGATCATCTGGAACATGTCGTGCGCCACCTCATCGAACTTGAGCCGCAGCACCTCGTAGATCTCTGGGTCCAGGTGGATCCAGCGGTAGACCATGGCCTCCATGGTGGCATCCTTGAAGGCAAGGGTGCGATTCCACGCGCCCTTCACCACGACGATGTCCTCTGCGCTCAGCGGCATCCGTGCGCCTCGGAGCCGGCGGATCTCATCCATGTCGGTCACCGTGCGCCTCGAGGCCAGCTGCTGGGGCGCCTCCGGGAGCTCTGAGAGGAGCATCTTCTGGCCGCTGACCGAAGGCTGCCCGATGGCGGCCTCAGCGGCCGCCACGGCCGCCTGAAGGGGGCACGGTTGGGGGGCTTGGACGGCGGGCTTGAACGGCGCAGGTGCCCGGGGCGATGGACCCGAGTTCGCCTGGAAGGGGCACGTGCCCGAGGCGTTGGTCACTGGGCACACCTGGGCCCCCTTGCTCAAGTCATCTGGGCCCTCGGACGAGCTGCAGGCAGCAGCCGGTCCCTGCGCCGAGTGGCAGGCACCCATGGCTGGCAGATGGCACCCAGAGGGCGACGCGAGAGAAGAGTGTTCGAACGTGGATGAGTTGCGACACGCGGAAAGAATGTTCTGAGCCTGAGGCAGCGACGGCCGCCGAGCGCAGCAAGGCACGACTGCCCCCGCCAGCGCAGAAGACATGCGCGCTGAGCACTGCGATCGGAGCGGGCGACGGCCAAGGGTGGTCTGCGAGCCAAATGCATGCAGCTGGTCTTTATGGTCCCTCACCGGAGCAGAATCTTTGTATGATGCGCACTGAAATCGGAACGCATGCATGCAGCTGTTTGTTCTGGCGCCAGAAAGCGCCGCAGGCTGTCATGTATCGAAGACTGCGCCCAGCGGCGGGGACTCCCGATTGCCCTGATGCTCAGAGTCTTTACCATCTCAGGTCCCTTGTTGGATCCCCTGGCCCCTCAGTCCTCAATACTGCATCCCTCGTCGAAATTGAAGGCAAGTCTTAGCCGCGACCTGGCGGCGCCCCCCGACCCCCAATTTCAATGTTCACGCCGACGCCGGCGACTTCGAGATTTTCTTCGGACCCCGCCAGCCGCGATGCGCCTGTCGATGAACATTGAAGCTTGGGGGCGACGGGGGTGGAAAAACTTGCGTTCAATTTCGACGAGGGCTGTGGGGATTCTTGCAGGGGCCCCGACCCAAATCCAAAGATCTCCTGGGGCGCGCCTCGTGGCCCCTGGGGCGCGTCGCGGCTTCTCGCTCGGCTTCCAGGCCCCACGAGGGCCTCAGTCGGCGGTGCACAAACCTCCCTTTGGTACAGTCGAGGCGTTGACCTAAGGAACCTTAAATAAGGAACGAGGCCCCTTTCCTTCAGAAGTTAACCTTCGACTTCACATCGAAAACTTAAGGAAAACCTTGGGCAAGGTGTGGAACAATCAAGGAACACCGAGCCCCTCCCCAACTAAAAGGGTTCCTTCTTCAGCGCCCCGACTGTAAACCACCCTTTCGTGAAAACGGCCTGGGACCGAAACCGACGGACCTGGACCCGCACCAATGATGGCCGCGACGCCCTCTCGCAAACCGAAAACAGCCAATTCGCTAATCGATGTGTCAGAGTAGGAGGTCTATCGACCTCCGATTCCAAGAGGGGCCACGAGGGCCCTGAGAGGCCCCCAAGAAAGTCCAAGAGGTCCCCAATCCGTAGACACATGCAGGAAAACACACAGGACTCGAACCCCAGCAAAGGAGCAATCTACAGGCACACACGTAAACACACTTAGGACTCGAGCCGCAGGAGAGGGCCAGTCTATAAACACACACGAAAGACACACAGAAACCAAGCCACAAGATAAGAGGGCGCGAGGCCTCGGGAGGCCCGGGGGGGGGGCGCCCGGAGGCCAAAACATCTGCAAATCGGCACCAGATCCAAGTAAGCTTCCGACGCGCCGTCCCTGGGCCCGGGGAAGCCTGGGGAGACATGACACATCGCATACGAGCCAGAGGAGAGGGGCAATCTATAATCACATACGCAAAACGCACAAGGTTCGGGGGCACTTCAAAGGCACATGCGTCAAAGCACATACGATTCGAGCCACAGAATAAAAGGTCAATCCATAGGCACATACGCATACGAAAAACATGCAGGAATCGAGCCCCTAGGAAAGGGGCAATTTGAAGGCACATACACGCAAACACACATTGGACTCGACCCCCAGGAGAGGGCCAATCTATAGGAATACATTTAAAACAAACAAGCGATTCGAGGGTGAGAAGCACTTGGCGAGGGACCGTGGCCATGGGAGCTTCACGACGGTGGTCTTGGGGGCGCGGTCACAGCGTAATTGTCGATGGGTCGTGGCAGCGGAAGCAGGAATCCTTTGGAATTTACCCTGGATCGTGGCCCTGTGAGCGCGAGCCTGGCGTGTTCTACGAAGGATCGTTGTCCTGAGAGCGCGAACCCAGCGTAATTTACTATGGAACGTGGCCCGGAGGCCGCGGACACCATGTAGTTCACAAGGGACCGCTGCCCTCGGAGCAGGAGCCCAGCATAATGTTACGAAGGAACGTTGCCCTGGGCGCGTCAACCCCGTGCAATGTACGATGGATCGTGGCCCTGAGAGCGCGAACCCAAAGTGTTTCCCAACCATCCTGTGGTGTTGAGTCCTCGTTTTGAAAAGATCCTCGCGACTTCACCTCCTCCTCCTCCTCCTCCTTCTCCCTCCTGCTCCTTCTCCTCGACCTCCAACTCCTCCTCTTCCTTCTCCTCCTCCTCCTCCTCCTCCTCCTCGACCTCGTCCTCCTCGACCTCCTCCTCATCCTCATCCTCCTCTTCCTCCTCCTCCTCCATTCCTTTTTCCTTATACATAACTTCTCCCTGTCGCACCTCCTCCTCCTTCCTCCTCCTCCTCCTCCTCCTCCTCCTCCTCCTCCTCCTCATCATCATCATCATCATCATCATCATCATCATCATCATCATCATCATCATCATCATCATCATCATCACCACCACCACCATCATCATCATCATCATCATCATCATCATCATCTTCTTATTATTCTTCATCATCATCATCATCATCATCATCATCATCATCATCCTTCGCCTCCGCCTCCGCCTCCGCTCCGTCTCCTCCTCCTCCTCCTCCTCCTCCTCCATTCCTTTTCCTTATACATAACTTCTCCCTGTCGCACCTCCAGGCTTGTTTTTAGGGTGGGCAGGACGTTTCGCCTGAGACTTCCTCACCGCTTATGACCCTGAAGCTCAAAAAGTGACAACAGTTTGACGGATTGAGGGCGGGTGGTTCTCGAAATATGGCTCTCGCCTTAACGCAGCACACATTCTTTTTATGAGTATAGATATATAATTATACATCGTGGAACTATGCGCGCGCTTTGCGCGCTGCAGTTCTAGTCACGGCTGCGCCACATTTTACTGCTCTCGTTTTCGCTCGTGTGATCATCGACGACGACTACGACGACGACAGGGGCGGCGACGAGTGACGACGAAGGCGACGACGACGACGATGACGATCACGACGACGACGACCGCCACCACCACGACGTGGCCCCGGGGTCCGGACAACTTCCATAGGCCGGAATCACGTCCTAAATGTTTGACGGTCCCAGGGCCCGTTGGGGGCGTCAGGATGCCGGGAGTTGTCCGGAAGCTTCGGGATCGGCCAGAATACCTCAGGGCGTCTGGCGAGAGGGCTCTTGGGAGCCTCTTGGGGCTTCCTAACGGCCCCGTGGGGCCCGTTTGGGTTTTTTGTTCGGGAGCTCTTGGAGGTTTCTTGGGATCTCCGGGGTGCTTTTTGGGGAGGGTGGCTCAAACTTATCGGGTGGGGTACCCCTCAGGGCTGTGTGGGGAAGCTGTCCCGGGGCCCTCTGGGGACCGTTTTGGTGGCTCCCTGAACAGCCAAGGGCCCCTCTGGAGCCGTCTTGGAGGCCTCTGGGAACTCTCTTTGGCCGTCTCAGGGCGATCTGGTCGGCTCCATGGGGCCGGCTTCGACGCGGTCGACGCCGAAGCGGAGAATATCCTAAACATGTAAGTTTTCCGGAGGGAATGACGCCATTTTTGCTTCTGGAGGCGCTCTTGGGAGTCCTCTTGGGAGATTCTTGGGCCGTCGCGGGGGCTGCCGGAGGCCGTCTTGGAGCCAACGTCGGCGTGTTGAAGCGACAATTTAGGGATTCTGGACCCTCGTGGACGTTTGGAGACCTCCTGGGACACTCGGGTGGCGTTTCGGGGCTGTTTGGGGCTGTCTCGGGGGAGCCCCAGAGGTCCCCCAGGGGCCTTGCGGGACCGTCTTGGGGGCCTCCTGGACAGCCGAGGGCCCCTCGTAAGCTGTCTTGGAGGCCTCTGGGAAAACTCTTTGGCCGTCTTAGGGCGATCTGGTCGGCTCCTGGGGCCGTCTTCGACGCGGTTGACGCCGAAGCTGTGAACATCATAAAAGTGTCCGTTTTTCGGAAGGAATGGGGCCGCTCCTAGAGGCTCGTTTGGGAATCCTCTTGGGAGACTCTTGGGCCGTCGTGCTCCCGGAGGCCGTCTGGGAGCCATCTTCGGCGTCTTGGAGCGACAGTGGGGCGGATTCTGAACCCAAGTGGACGTTTGGAGACCTCCTGGGACTCTCGGGTGGCGTTTCGGGCCTGTTTGGGGCTGTCTCGGGGGGGCCCCAGAGGCCCCCCGGGGCCTTTTGGGACCGTCTTGGGGGCCTCCTGGATAGTCGGTGGCTCCTCTGGAGCTGCCCCGGAGGTTCTTGAAACTCTCTTCGGCCGTCTTGGGGCGATGTTGTGGGCTCCTGGGGCAGTCTTCGAAGCGGTCGACACCGAAGATGCGAATATCGTAAACATGCAAATTTTCCCAAGGGAATGGGACCACTTTGCTTCGGGAGGCGCTCTTGGGAGTCAGCCACCCGTGGGGGCTCCCAGAGGCCGTCTGGGAGCCATCTCTTCGGCGTCTTGGAGCGACGCTTCAGGGATTCTGGGCTCTCTTGGACGTTTGGAGGCTGGAAACCTCCCGGGGCCCTCGGGTGGCGCTTCGGGGCTGTCGGGGGCCGTCTCGGAGGGCCCAGAGGCCCCGGTCCTCCCAATGCCCCCCTGTGACCTGGGCCCCGGGCGCCGGGGCCTCGTGCACGGGGATATATATATATAATATATATATATATATACACACAAACACACACATGTATATATAACATACATATACATATATATATATATATATATATATAATATATATAATATATATATATATCCACATTGTGGTCGCTTCTTGCGGTCGCTTCTTGCGTCCAGAGACTCCCTGGGAAGCCCTGCGCAAGCCTCGGAAATAGAAGGGGAAACGCGGAAACGCAGAAAACATTAATTTCCTTTAGGTCTTTAACGATTTGGGGCCCTCAAAGGCTTCCTGGGTTCTTTTTTGGGAGGCGAGGGGGGTCTGAATTGTGGTGTCTTGTGCAAGAGTAGACCGGGGGCCAAACTTGAAAAAAATATCCTGGCGAAGGACCCAACCATAAGCAATTGTTCGTAACGCGTTGTGGGTGCCGCTTTCGGTGGGGCCGTCTTGGTCCCCTCGTGGGCCGTCTTGGAGCCCTCTTGGGGGCATCCTCGACTGTCTTGGGTGCCTCTTGGGCTGTCT